CCTGAAATTCCTGTGAGGAATTCCCAAATTCCTCTGAGGCAAAACCCACCTGGAGCTTCCTGTTCCAGGGATGCTGGGATGAGAAAACGGAGCAGGGACACAGATAAGGAGGATTCGTCTCCATTCCAATTTTCCCACCTTTTTTTTTGGCGGGAACTCGGGTGTGTTTGCAAAACATGAGGGGAAAAAGCCTATTTATTTATCCCAAATGGATCCTCTGGAGAATCCTGGTAATTAAACACCATGGAGGGAAAAGATCCATGAATTTTCCACCTGAATTTCAACCCAATGAATAATTTGGGCACTTTTTTTGGGAATTGTGGGAGCTTTTTCCTTCACGTGAAGGGAAAAAACATCTTTATTTATCCCCAAATGGATCCTCTGGAGAATCCTGATAATTAAACACCGTTGAGGGAAAAGATCCACTTATTTTCCGTATTTTGGGGGGGTTTTCTATCTAAATTTCAACCCACCGACTGGTTTGGTGGTTTATTTTGGGAATCTTGGGATTTTTTTACCCTCGGCGTGTGGGATCAGGAGCGCTGCCTTGATCTCGGCTTTTGTCTTACCTCAGCCCCAAACTCCCGCGTTTCTCTGCTGAAAAACTCCTGGCTCTTGCTAATTCCCTGGAATTCCTCCTCTTTTTTCCTCGATTTGTTCCCGTCGCAGGTGAAAGAGCTCGTTCTGGACAACTGCCGGTCGTACGAAGGGAAAATCGAGGGCCTCACGGATGAGTTTGAGGAGCTGGAATTCCTCAGCACAATCAACGTCGGCTTAACCTCAGTTGCAAACTTACCAAAGTTAAACAAACTTAAGAAGGTAAATCCCCCCTCCCCGAGCCAAATCCCCGCTCTGCCCCTTCTCCACGTGCGGAAAAGCCGCTGGAAACGGGATCCGATGGGATTTTTGAGGATGTTTTTGGGCCCTTTTGCAGCTCGAGTTGAGCGACAACAGAATCTCAGGAGGCCTGGAAGTGTTGGCAGAGAAGTGTCCGAACCTCACGCACCTAAACCTAAGCGGCAACAAAATTAAAGATCTCGGGACAATAGAACCTCTGGTGAGTCGGGATT